TCTGGCAGCTGAAGTCCAAAATATAAAAAGCCAAAGGCTCCACCACTCCTGGTGTAAAAGAAAGTGATGCTATATTTGAATTGAAGTTATTCAACCACATTTTTATCAAGGATAAAATAATGAAATATTTAACTTTCAGTCTGATTACTTGCAGTTGCATTTAAAACCGAGACATTCTCTGGTTTTGTATTTGGGCATGGGGAAGCATGTTAAAATGGAACATGCAAATCCACTCTTTTCCAAGCAAATGAATTCAAACCAGATGAGTAAGATTAAAGAAAGGGAACCCTTACTTTAGCTTAAAAATGAGAAGGAACAACATAGTATGCTTCAAGTAGTGGATGATATTTATTTAGCAAAACATAATCACATGTTAGAGAAATATAAATACTGAATACAAAGCATGTTCGTTTCATTCATCTTTTAGGAGAGTGAATCACAAGCAAGCAGAAAACAAAAGCAATCATATGCTGCTGTTGCTCTAAAAATAATACTGACTACACGAGTTTGAAAAAAACTTGAAAGCAGTTATTATTTCATACTCTACATAGTATGTTTCTATTGAAGAAGAATACCAGAAGTGTGATGTTCACTCAAATACAAGAGAGACTTTTAGCACTTAAAAAACTTAACAGATTTATTGTGATACAGGCTTCCGAGGACTAGAGAGACTATTATCAGATGCATTAAGTGTTATCATCAATTGGCACATACACAAGTAGGTCTAGGTCTAGGGAGAAAATGTGGGAGTTCTGAACCATTTTCTATTAATTCAGTCTGTGAAGAGGTTTACTTTTTTTGTATATTTAGATAAACTTGCAATACTGTTGTGTTCTCAAGACAGCATTTCTCTAAACACTTCTAAACAGTAACGTGTGCTCTCCTTTTATGTAAACTGACTGGGTTGTATCTGTTGTGCGACCATGAGGCATGATCACCCAATGGATATTTCTCTTCCACCCCACCCCCCGCCTGCCTATCTATCTATCTTATCTATTTTCCTGTACCCGCCACAAAGCTTGCCATAATGTCAGGTAGCATCTACTGAACATTGTGGACTGTTGAATGAAGGTGCAATAGAAAGGGGGGAGGAAATAAAATAGCATACTGGCACAAGATTCCTCTTCCTGATTTTGAGCCCCCACCCCACCCCTGACCTCCTGGAAAGCCTTTGGGGGGGTATAGGGGAGAAATGGGAAGGAAAATATCCATCTGTGTGTACTTACACAATACTGGATAAAAGCCCGTAAATTTTAACACTGCTTGATTGTAAAGAAAACAACAACCCTCAGAGCCGTAGCTTATATAGTTTTCATTTTATTAGTAATTTCAAATTAATGTGTCAAATGCATTCACAAGAAGGAATTACTTAATGGCAGCAAAATATTGACAGTTACAATAAAGAAAAGCAGAAGTGAAAGAATAACTTCTAGGTTAACCATGTTCATCAATGTTAGTTTGTGATAAAACACATTTTCACAGAGATCAAGCTGTGCTTATCCACAATCTGAACTACAATGAATGCATCTAAAAATCTGACAATGCCCAGGCATCATGGAGTTTTCTTAGATTGGGCTTGGGGAACCTGTGGCCCTTCAGATGTTGCTGGCACTATAACTCCCATCATCCTGACCACTCAACATGCTGGTTGGAGCTTATGGGAGTTGAGAGTCCAAATCTGGAAGACCACAGGTTCCCCACCTGTCTTAGATAAACTTGCAGAGCCTTCCTGTTAACTCAGTGTTGTGGCTGGTGACAAAGCTTACTCCTTGCTTGTGTTAACAACTCACTCCAGTTGTATGGTGAATGTAGTGTGGTTTTGGGCAAATCAATCATCTGGTGTTCATTCTTTGAACCACCAGACTAATACAATAGGTAGATCATACTGACTACATGGTTAGAAGCACATCTTAGGAATGCGTCATTGCATTGTTATTTAATATTCCATAGAACTCGGCGTAAGCAAACACACAAAAACTTTAATAAGCTCGTTATTCATCAAACGTCAAAAATGAATGGTAAAAAGTGTTATCTTAAACCACTGCTTCACTTTTTGATGCACAAGTTCATTACTGTTTGTCAATCTCACAAAGATATCAGCCTTCTGTATTTTCATAGTCTGATCTGCCTCCTGAGCAAACTTCAATCCATGCAAATTTTTCTCAGAAATTTTCTGCCACTTACCCTACACAGGAAGGGAAACACATGATTAGCAAAGGCAGAAATCAGTATCAGATATATCAAAGTCATTTCAAAATAACCTTGTGTGTCATAGCAACCTACACTGCAGCACAAGGATAAATAGAACTAGAAGATATTCTTAAAATACATTTCCAAACTGATGCAACGGATACAGTAAATATACTGTAAAAAGCAGTATATTTAATTCTTACTTGACTGACCTGTGGCTTAAGTATATCCTCATTTTTCAGTCTGTTTGTTTTTTAAGCTTGGTCTAGTATCCGTCAGAAAGCCACTCCACTTAAAAGTCTAAATTGAATTGCTGAGAGAAGCAAAGCTAAGTCCTATGATCTCCCACTACAATGTGAACTGAGTTATAAAAAAACTGGTCTACACCTCCAGAATCTCTGCTGGCTCTTCACACAGCCATCCTCTGCAAAAGGTCTGACCTCTTCTTAACACTTTGAGACATCCAAAGTAAGATTGATATTTTGCAGCCAAAGAATATATAATGCATGCCCCGGGATAAATGAATGTTGCAGTATGCTGATACCTGCTTGCAGAAATTTAAATAGTATGTCCGTGAGCTTATCACTAGGGCTCCTTTGGCAGGAAGGGTGGAATAAAAATGTAATAAATAAATTTACCATCAAATGTGCTTGACTCTTGCCTACAGTATTATAATAAAATGTTTATTTAACCATGC